AGTACGCTCGGACTGCCCATCAGTCTGAGGATGATAAGCTGACTGACGTGAGCCATAAGCTACTACTTTCCCTTCTTGCATCAACACACAACCCAAACCCTCTCGTGAGGCATCACAATAAACCGCATAACCCAACCCTTTCTCAGGAATAATCAACACCGGAACGTGCACACGGGCACGCAAACCGAGGCAATGCAAAAATGCAAACTATGGCATGGAAAATGATACACAAACATGCTAATGGGATTTCAACACTGAAAAGTGGGGGAAAACAGCCCCGAAATGGGGCGAAAACACACCCGATGCAAGGAATAGTCCCACACAGTTCGAACTTAAATTTCCTGAACACGCAGCCCAGATTGGTAGTGAACACGCAGCCCACATGGATTGAAAGTTGAACACGCAGCCCAAACTTAAATTTCCTGAACACGCAGCCCAGATTGATAGTGAACACGCAGCCCACACTAGTTGAAAGTAGCTTATACGAACTGTGTGTTCAGCTGGCCACACGCAAAAGCTCATTCAAGAAACTAATCGATTGAATGTGTCATAGAGTATGACGGTGGATTGAATACATTAATTTTATGTATTGATTGATTGTGTATAGAACCTTTGTGTTCGACAAAAACAATCCGAACAAATGGTTGATGTTCGAAAGTACAATGTCGAATGGTTCAGAAAATGAAATTTCAAATAGAATGCTCATGGCAATGGAAAAATACGGATCTAACGGTTCGATCTCTAGGGATTAAGCTTGGGATCTACTCTCCCTCAAGAACTCCTCTCCCTCTTCTAGAGCTTCTCTCTTTTCTTCAAAACAAAGATAGAAAAACCATTTTTATTCAATTTGCTTTTCTACTAAACTTCCTTTTTTATTTAATATCCAAATAGATCGTTAAGGTATAGTGGTTTCTTGAATGAACTTTCATTTTTAATTTTCTGCAACTTCCACTTTTATTGTTATTCAACAATTCGACCCATTACCGGTCATCCCATCCCTTTAACAAGAGACATATCACAATATGTAAACAACATATGTATTTTCAACATGCATTAACATTATGCGTGCATGTTTTCAAACTCAAGCCGATACCAGATACCAGTGTGTGTGCAGTGAAATACAGTGTGCGCCGGGGCCAAAAGGGAAGCAAAATTTAAAACTTTGTCCATAGAGCTGTGCTTACATGGCACATCAAAACAAACCATACATATGTACATTAATAACTCACAACAGAAACAAGGCCGCAGCCTCAACAGATTCGCCCAGTAGCAAATCAAACTCACCAAGTGCTCCCAACATCTGCCATTAACGATCTATTTGGAAATTAAATAAAAAAAATGAAATTGAATAGAAAAGGAAATTGAATAAACATGGAAGTATCTCCTCTGCCTCAAATTCAAGTCTCTCTGTGTAAACAGATACTTCAAACTCTTGTGGTCCGAGAACACCTCGAACTTCTCACCATAAAGGTAGTGCCTCCACCTTCTCTGTCTCAAATTCAATTCCTTCTGTGTGAATAGGTACTTTAAACTCTTATGATCTGTAAAAATCTGACAAGAAGCTCCATACAAATAGTGACGCCACTTCCATTTATAATTTTATGCTACTTTCATTTTTATTTTTACAACTTCCATTTTTATTCAAGTTATTTTTCTATTTTACTTCCTTTTTGGTTAAATTTCCAAATAGATCGTGGTTTCTTGATTGAACTTCCATTTTTAATTTTCTGCAACTTCTATTTTTATTTTTATTTGACTTCCATTTTTATTCAATTTACTTTTGTATTCAACTTCCTTTTTTAAAATGGAAGTTCATTCAAGAAACCACTATACCTTAACGATGTATTTGGAAATTAAATAAAAAAAAAGTTTAATAGAAAAGTAAATTGAGTGAGGAAGTAGATCTTCAAGCTTGATTCCTAGAGATCGAACCGTTAAATCCGTATTCTAAGGTTAGATTCTTGATCTGCTCATGATGTTCTCTATGTTCAAATGAAAGTTGCACAAAATTAAAAATGGAAGTTCAATCCAGAAACCACTATACCTTAACGATCTATTTGGAAATCAAATAAAAAAGGAAGTTGTGCAGAAAAGAAAATTGAATGAACACCACGTTCAATTTCTGTGTTTTTATTGACATAGAAAGCAGTACAACTCCAAGGAGATCTAATCAGAAACTTGATTACTGAAGATTTACAAGGCAAAGTTCATTTTCTGGATTATCATCAGATTCTGGTTCTGAACTATCTGAATAAAGGTGTGGGACCTCGACCAAGTCCTAGTAGTTGCCCAGCGTGTTTTTCCAAAAATAAGAAACTGTGTTTCGATTTGGATTGACTTAGTTTGTTGAAGAATGCGAGGGCCAAAACATTGGCCTTTTCCGGAGGGTTAGTTTCTGAGACTTAGCGTACTTGGCAGGGTTCGGGCCCTTCTGCGTCGGGTTGTCACGTTGTCCTGCCAGGAGGACGCTGATGGCAGCATTGGTAGAGAGATGGTGGGACAACTTCTCGCTCTTCCCAAACCTCATCAATCCCCGTCTAGGTGATATCTTCAGAAAGACATGATCTCCCATGTCAAACACCAAAGGTCTCCTCCTATGGTCGGCATAAGATTTCTGACGACTCTGTGCTGTAACAAGCCTCTTACGGATCAGCTCAACTTTCTCCGTCGTCTCCCTAACCAGCTCCGGACCCAACAAAGGTGCGTCACCCACCTCGGCCCAACAAACCGGAGACCTACAAGGCCGGCCATACAAGGCCTCAAACGGTGCCATACCGATACTAGACTGAAAGCTGTTGTTGTAGGCAAACTCCACCAATGGTAAGTGCCTCTCCCACGTCCCACTAAAGTCAAGGACACAACCCCGAAGCATATCCTCAAGGATCTAAATAGTACGCTCGGACGGTCTCGGTATCTCACACTGAGGTCGGGATACACCGTCAAACCTTTCTCAACCTTCCCACTGGAAATCTTCTCACGGAGGGATTCTACCTCAAGGTCACCCCCCTGAGCCTCTAACACTCGAGTCACAAATGGATATTCAATCAACATTTCATTTCCTCATTTCTCACAATTAATTATCCCAATTAATCAAACAATGTAATTAGGCCATTTTCCATAATTACCATTTCAACCCTTAGGGGCCCACAGGGCGCGTGTATGCCGTTACCGCGTAGGATTTAGTGCCGGCTCCATTCAATTTCCTTTTTTATTTAATTTCCAAAGAGATCATTAAAGTGTAGTGGTTTCTTGAATGAACTTCCGTGTTTAATTTTATGCTGTTACGGTTGTGATTGATTGCAATTACAACAAATAGGGCAGCGATTTTATCATGGCCTGCCAGTACGAGTGTAATTTCGATGCCCAACCACAACTGGATTACTGCATCAGCTTGTCGTGACAACTTTTTAGGTCGCAGCTGTGATAATACTAATAGTGGTCACCACACATATCCCTAATCACATTAATGTAAACTTTCGTCAACCCTTCTTCGCTAACACCCATTAGATTAGTGTTTTTAATGGCTCAAGGTGCAAAAGGTCTCTTGGGGCCTAGGCTCAAGGTGAGGCACGGGCTTTATTGAAGCAAGGCGCACAGTCAGCTTGTTTGGGGTGCCGCCCCTAGTAGTTTGGTGCCGTGATGGCCAGTAATCCGTAATTACCGAAGGCCAACTTACAAAACCACACACAGTCAGGGTATATTGCCGAGGGTGGTTTGTGAGTATTCGGATGTCTTTCCCGAAGATCTTGTTAGTTTGCCACCTCACCGAGAGATAGAGTTCTCTATTGAAGTTCAATCCAGAAACCACTATATGTTAAAGATCTATTTGGAAATTAACTAAAAAAGGAAGTTGAATAGAAAAGTAAGTTGAATAAAAATGGAAGTTACTTAAAAATAAAAATGGAAGTTGCAGAAAATTAAAAATGGAAATTCATTCGGGAAACCACTATACCCTAATGATCTATTTGGAAATTAAATAAAAACAGAAGTTGAATAGAAAAATAACTTGAATAAAAATGGAAATCGAATAAAAATAAAAATAGAAGTTGCAGAAAATTAAAAACGGAAGTTCATTCAAGAAAATTAAAAATGGAAGTTCATTCACGAAACCACCATACCTTAACGATCTACAAAAATCGAGTACAGAACAGTTCCTATTGGGTCCATTTCGGTTAGCAGAGGGAAGAGTTGGTGACTCTAAGCTGCTGGAATCCCTTTCTCTTTGTGTTTGAGCTTTGGGTCGTGTTGGGCAAGTTGGGGATAAGTTGGTTGTGTTTTAAAACATAAAATCTTTGCCCAGTTTTTGGTCTCTCCGTTTCCTTGTAAGAGCAACTATGATCTTGTTCAAGTCAGAGATTTCCTCATCCCTCTGTCTCAGTTCTTGCTTCAGTCTTTCAATCTCCTTTAAGTGACCATCACAAAGGTTTGACCCTGCCTTAGTCTGCTCTCCAGCTTCCTGACCTGACTTCAACTTCTTGGACTCGCCTGTGGTGGTCTTCTCAACTTGGAATGATCTTTTCCTCGATGAAACTTGGCCAAGAAAACCCTCACTTGTCATTTTACGAACACAAAAGCTATCAATTGATTCGGAATCATATTGGAATGAAACGCATTTCTGTGTAGTCCGAGTCCTAACACAAGGCATCAACAAAATTCAAAATTTAATTCCTATGCATGAGATAGTTCAAATGGAAGACTATCAACAAAAATCACAGGAAAATGTTGTATAAAGATGGCACTAATGAATTACAGACCAAAGGCACTTGTTACAGGAGTATTAGGTTTTCACACCTAAACAAAGAAGAATACCTTTGTGTTAGAGATGAGATGAAGTTTTAACTCTAAACTAGCAAAGCTATGTTACATCAGGGTTAGCTTCAGTTGTTGCTTTCAAGGGAAAGTAAGGATATACATATAGCTACATACACGGGCCACCTTTTCCAGATAATATAAGTTGTGCAAGATATAGAGAAATTCTCATCCGGGAAATACCTTTTCTTGGTATCCATCGATATTTTCAAATGCTTGATTTGCCTCTTCTTGATTCTTAAAATTGGCAAAGGCAGAATACTTCTTTCCTCCAGCCTTTTTGTTGGGCTGCCACCAAATCATTCACCACATCAGCCTTTTCATAATGAACAGGGAAAAAAAGAGCCTACAATATACTTAAATTTTAAAATTAAGAGAGAGAGAGAGAGAGAGAGAGAGAGAGAGTGTGTTTGTGTGTGTGTGTTTGTGTGTGTGTGTGTCATTGTGTTGCATACATTACCTTACGCTGTCATAAGTTCATAACATCATTAAAAGAACTTTATTGGATGTTTATCCAAAAACAAAATTGACCTTTCCCTTCAAGCTCAATATTCACATTTTGCATAAGCAATTACCTTACGAAACCTTTCATGATGTATAGAACAAATATTATTGTTCGTCTAAGTTAAGTTATGGTCAGTGCAAAAGTTGATGGCCCACCATCTATTTTTTCAAATATTTGTAGGATATGGGCCACCCTTCGGGCAAGAAAGATCTCATCCTTGAGAATTATTCTTACATTGTCAATTTCTTGTCAGTTCACATAATGATGCAGCCAAAAAAATTAAATTAAATTAAGAGCTTTTAACAACTGTATGCTCAAGTGTGATTTGGTCTCTCAAAAGATCAATTTGAGCCAATTGTCCCTGGAAAATGTTCAAGGTGCAATTGACCCCTAAATGATTAATTGAAGCAAATTGCCACTAAATTTAAATCAACTGTAGTAATGTCCCCTAACTAAGGGAAGTTTTAGAGGGCCAATTGCAGTTTTAAACAATTTCAAAGAACAAATTGTTCAAATAAATATTTTTGGGGGGCAACTACACTTTTGAGCATCTTTTTGGGGGCAAACTGTCAAAACCCCAAAACATTAAATGAAAATCTCTAAGTAGTTCAATGTAGCTGTTTGGTACAGCTTAAAACAGGTAACTTTTAGCTTAAGTTATTCTTGCATGTTTGCTCCAACTTATACATGGAACTTCTGCTTAAATCAGCTTATGCAGAAAGTTAAATAAGCAGAATCTCTCAAGTTGCCCAAGGCCTAATTCCGCTTCTCGATTATGAGGAAAGGTTGATTCACCTAGCCAACACAACCTTAGGACAGACCCAATACTATCTTTGTGCAGTTCATTGCAATGAAAATCTCGCAATAGGTCAACAATATTTCCCAGTCAACAGATATCCTAATCCCAGGATCAATTTCTAATGAATAGTACAGAGGTCTTTGCAGGAACATAAACAATAGTCCCAAAATATGGGCAAGGTAGCATGCATGGTATATATATTACCAGGTTCCACTAATCAAGCTCATCCAAACAATAACTTAAAACAACGGTTATAGATATTCTGACCCTGATCTCAATTGTAAAGTCTCCAGGAATAATTTTATGTAATTCTTCACCGGGCACATTGACTGGTATCCTGTGGAGAAGTAGCTTTGACTTTTTGATCTCAGGCACCTACAAGGTCAAAGATACAATGAATTGACATTCTTATATTCGTTTGGAAGCAAGCAGGACTTAAATTTCGAAACTTACACCCTCATGAACCAGCGGTATAGCATTGTCTAATCCAGACTCTATCTTGGCCAGAACTAGTTTCATTGCAGGGGTTGCATCATCTAGACAATCGTGGGGAGCACCCTCCTTCCTGACTTCATATCCCAACACAGCCTGTGAAACAATTGACAGAACAATTCAACTATGCATACTGATCTACATACCTACTAGCCAACTAAGGGCATGCAGAAATTGCAGCATCTAGGAACACTAATGTAATGATGAACCAATGAGACAGTAAACAAGGAAATATAGAGAATAGTCCGCTGGTGTTCTGAAGAGACCAACCCATCCAGGCAAAAAAATGACAAATATGACAAATCCAAAAAAAAATAAAAATGGAATTATGAATAAAAATACAAAAAGAATATTGGACTTTAACAATGCCTAGAAAATTATTCAAGGAATTTGGTACTTAAATAGGTTGCAAAAAACAATTGCCACAGTACATTTGTAAAAGGCATGTGCACAGAGAGAGAGAGAGACTGGCCAGATGTAAATGATAGGTTTGACAAGTTTGTAAAATAAAAACAAATATGACATCAATACCACATGCACAAAGAGACATGCATGTGTGCATGATTAACAACTTGCCTTGCACAGGTTATTCAAAGAAGGTCTTCTGAAATTAGCCTCATCCCCGTGCTTGAAGATCAAAGAGGTGTCAATCACTCTTCCATGATCTAACTTTAGAGCTGTAAGTAAAAAATCGAGAAAATATTATTCAAAGCTATCGGTAGTAAATAGCACAAACTTGGTGTAAGAATAGTTGACAAATAGTAAATCCAAATTGTCTTTTTCGGAATTGTGAGTCAAATCAAGTTGTGAATCATAAATATTTGGTCATAATTTCTAATTTACATAGAAAAATATATCTATTGCATTAGATATTAAAAATGTATTACATATATGAAAATTTTAGACATAAATCAATGAAAAAGGCTCTAATAGGTAAGACGCTTCTATGACGGGAAGTGGGATCATTGGTACAGTGGTCCCATGTAAGATCACAACCTTTTCTTTTCCCTTTTACATATTTTTCATCAATTATTTTTAATAAAGAAAGCAAACAAACCCAAACTCTAAATTTCAAAGCAACAATAACTCAATTTCCCAAATCTTCAAACTTCGTAAGAAAACTCAATTAATGCCTTCAAAATATTCCTTTTGTAAGTGCAAAAAATTGAATAAAGTTAAATATGTAAGCGTAGATTATAGTAGAGAGAGAAAAAAAAGAGTTTTTCTTCCCTAGGATTTGAGTCTTTGAGAGAGGGAGGGAGGGAGGATGGAATATAATAACCCTAACGACCTTAAAAAGATTGTTCGAACCCTTTTCCAGCAAAAAAACCAAAACAAAAAGGGGCCAAAAATCGAATTCAATGAATTGATTGATTCAGCAATTTAGTTCTACGATTCATCGAGATTTACGATTCATGCAATCTGTTTTTATCAATCACCTCCTGAATTGTATTGAATCATACGATTCAAATCACAAATGTGCAATTCCAAAAACAGATGTAAGAAATTAAAATCAGACGACAGCTAGTAGCCAAATGGCAAACAAATACATGGGATAACTATATTAACGAAGAATAATACTTATTTAAACTGTCATGCAAATAGAAATATTTAGAAGGAAAATTAATATTAAATCATACAACTTAGCTTACCTTTTAGATCATTGTTCAAACTGTGGCCAATTAATATTGTTTTACCATCCCGTAAAAGCTTCTTCATTGATTCCTATAAAATTGCCAGAGAGAAAGACATTCCAACTAACTTTTATTCATTTAGTTATTTTATATTTCAGATGATTTTTAGTTATTTATATATTAAACTTTTACCTAATTATATTTTTGGCTGTGCTGTTTGCAATTTACTTCAAAACTAACCACATATTACCTGTACATTAGCCAATGAACAAGTTACTCCATCCAAATTTTCTGCAGTGAGCCCAGTAATTTCACTCCTATAGTCTGCAACTGTTTTATTCGGATTTACAAGTTCGTTAAGTTTGACCTAAAAAACTCCAAATTCCAAAACACCACATCAACTTGGGAAGTAAAAAGAAAATTGTTCAATTGAGACCTCTAAGATGTCTAAAATTGTCAAACTAGTTGCAACATAGGTAATTCTTTTGCACCTGTGTTTCTGTGCGTGAGGCGAGAGGGAGGTATTACGAAGTCATGCTGCACAAAAATTTGAAAACAAGCTCAAACAGTACCTGTAGATCGTGCCCAACAGCACAAACCCTCGCTAGAGCTTCAGTGCCATCTTCACAGAGAACCATCTCACAATCAACGGCAAGCATTTTGGGAAATTTCTTATCTGGTTTGTACTGAGCTTCATTCTCAAACATCCCTGAAGTTTAGAAGAAGACAACACAAATCAATTAGCATAAAAAAATCAACCGTAAAGGAAATCAAAAACTAAAAGAAACCTTCATTGTTTACTGGCCTCGTTTGTAACTCACTATTTTACTCTAAAAATTAAAAAATTATTAAAAAAAATTAAAAAGTCAAAGATTTTATTATCTTTTTACTTTTCGCACATATTTTTGTAAAAAATTAAAGATCATTCTAAACATACTAATTTTTTTATCTCATATTTTAACAAGAAAATTAAAAAATTACTAAAATAGTCTGTTGATGCCTCATAGTAGAAACCGTCAATTAACAATATTGGAAAGAACTTAAATTCCATTAAATACAAGCAAATAGAACACCTCTTATTTGTTGGTTTGCAGCAAATGAACTTACTTGGACATATGCTTTCACTTTCAAAGAATTTATGTTGGACATGAAAAAAACTCAAGTTGAAATTTTTGACACTACATGAACTAGATACGAAGTTGGCCAGTTAGGGTTGACTAGTTAACAACATGAACCTCAAAAGTGACACAATACCATAACGCGCACACTCAAAAAATAAAAGCAAATTGGGTTAACGTCAAACCTACATAACTCGAATTTGACATGTCTAACCCATTTAAAGGTGCTATTGTAGCAGTTCTTGGAGTTAGTTATGAGTTAATTTTTTGTGTTAGTTTTATTTTATGATTTTACTTTTTATTATTGACAGTCATACTTGTTTGGAATACTAATTTAGCTAATTGTGTTGATTGAGACTTTTTATCTATTTGACTATTTGTGAGATTATTTCAACTTTTACTTTTTGTGGATTACTCATGAAACATGAACCTCAAAAGTGACACGATACAATAGCGTGCACACCCCCCCCAAAAAAAAAAAGAAGCAAATTGGGTTAGTGTCAAACCTACATAACTTGAATTTGACATGTCTAACCCGTTTGAAGGTGCTAGTGTACAAATTTTTGGAGTCAATTATGAGTTAATTTTTTGTGTTAGTTTTTTTGGGGTTGTTACTTTTTATTATTGGAAGTCATACTAGTTTGGATACTAATTTAGCTAATTGTGTTGATTGAGACTTTTATCTATTTGACTATTTGTGAGATTTTTTCAACTTCTACTTTTGTGGATTACTCATGAATTTTTGAGAAATTTTTATGGATATCATATAGTCATTGTAGATGTCGATGAATATATGTGTTTATTCTTGCTAATGGATTAAACATGTATACATAACCTAAGAAGCACGGACACAGACATGCCGACACGCTAATTTTCAAAAAATGCAAGACACGACACGACACGCCACGCGAGGGACATGCATGATATATAATTTTATATATTTATTATATGTTATATATATGAATATATCATTCAAAGATAATAAAAAAAATGTAATGTGACACTAATTCCTATAAATTTATATGGTTTTTGTTTTATTATTGTATCTTAAGTTGTTTTGTTCAAACTTATAATTAGTTTCACATGTGTCTAATCAATAGACACGTGTATTTAAGCAATAAACACATGTGTCCTCCAAGTGTCCAACGAGTGTCCGGGTCTTTAAAAATAGGACACATTCTGAAGAGTGTCGGACACGTGTCCTAAGAGTGTCGGTGGCCGACATGGACACGACACGGATACGTCACATTCTTAGAAGTGTCCGTACTTCTTAGTACATAACAAATAGGATGTGCACATTAATCATGGCATGCAAATCGTAATCAGGTTAACACTTTTATAAATAGGTCGGGTTAGTGTAAAGGGAATTCTCACTAGGGTTGCAAACGAGCTGAGTCGAGCCAAGCTTTGCTAAGCTCGAGCTTGGCTCGTTTGCTCATCGAGCTCGTTTATTGAGCTCAAGCTCGGCTTGGTAAGTAACTGGACTCGAGCTCGACTCGACTCAACTCATTAATATTAATGAAACTTGAGCTCGACTCAGCTTGGCTTAATGAGATTTTTTTAATATTACTTATATTATTTAAATAAAAAATATTATTTATTTTATTTAATATATAAATAATATATTTATTATTTAATTTAAATAAAGACAAACGAGCCGAGCTTATTCGACCTTGAGCTCGGCTCGTCTTATTTACTAAACGAGTCGAGCCGAGCTGAGTCTGTTCGTGAACTGCTCAGTTCATTTGCAACCCTAATTCTCACAAACTGGAGATGACATGAAACAAACAAAGATGAATAAGACAGATTCCCTCCCCCCAAAAAAACATTGAATTTTTATAATTAGCCCGCAGAATTTAGTCTCGTTTCTTCAAATTGCAATAGACGAGCATGCAGCAAATTAAGACTAACTATTTTCAACTATATTTAAAGGGACAACAGTGGCTACTTCTGGACCATGCTCCATATGGTATCAGCTAGAGCTGTCTCCTTCGGTACATGCACGATCATAGATATCAATTGCATTTTCACCAAGAAGTAACCGTATATCTCGCAAAATTTGAATTGGTCTTTCCACTCATTATTGTGTCATCATCGGCAAAAAAAATAGTATACTAATTCTCTTGGCACCAGAAAGTACAAAACAACCAATATTTGTAACATATACTTCTTAATAAATTCAATATTCAACTAATGTCTCTCCCTGCTATTGCACAAAAAGCAAGGAATTTTCTTAGTAAAGAAGAGAACAAGCTGCAAATGCAATAGTCCAATCTGATAAACCAAACCAAGCCTTAAGTCCCATCAAATGGGGTCGAGCAAAAAAAAGAAAAGAAAAAGGAACAAAATTGACAGCAAACCTCCTTATGTGACAGAAATGAATAATCTAATGGGTATTTTGCAATATATGAAAATAAATAGCAAAAAAAAGAAAAGAAAAGGGAGCAAAATTGACAGTGAACCTCCTCATGTGACGGAAATGAATAATCTAATGGGTAGTGTGGGTGTTCAAGAGTTAAGCGAACCAGCATCTGCACTGCCACAACAACAACTTAATAAGGATCATACTCAATAGAATTACAAGTAAGATACGTAAAGCTTAACAAATTTGTAATACAAACAGCCCGCCATACAATACAAACAAGACGAAGAATTCTGCGAGAAAAAGTAGAAAACACCAATAAGTGATTTCAGATTAATGATGCATTCTGAAACTAGTGCTGAAAAATCAGTTCAAACATTTTATGAAAACAAGTAAGGGCATAATACTGAATGAGACTGGAAAGACTCAGTTTTTAGTCAAACAAATTAATATTAATGTGGTTAAACTGAGAACAAGACAGAATGTGCATTTAATTTACAACATAAATGAAACTCAAAGCTTGAGACATCAAAATCTTGTGACTAGAATATTGATTAAGGAGGAAAATCAGGCAACGGCATGCTGTTAAAAAAAGAAAAGAAAAAGGAAGCTAGAATAAAAATTACTTATTCCTAATCAATCCATATATGTAATTTACATTCATCAAAAATATATAATTCTTATCCCAGTATGAAACTACTAAAACATGTTAATCAAATCAAAGCAAACCTGCACAGGGGATTCAACTTCTCTGGATTCCTCTATGAATTTCCTAAGTATATCCTGCTTAGAATACCAGTGCATTTTGTTATCGAAAAACTGAATAAAAATTACTTATTCCTAATCAATCCATATATGTAATTTACATTCATCAAAAATATATAATTCTTATCCCAGTATGAAACTACTAAAAACATGTTAATCAAATCAAAGCAAACCTGCACAGGGGATTCAACTTCTCTGGATTCCTCTATGAATTTCCTAAGTATATCCTGCTTAGAATACCAGTGCATTTTGTTATCGAAAAACTGTAAACAAACACAAGCGTCGTAATGATTCTTCACATAAGTGAGAAAAGATTAGTTTCAAGGCAACAACTTTGGTGCAATTAATTACCTTTAAATCATCCTCTCGGCTAAATGTCTTTAGAAAACGAGCCAATTTAACAGCGGACTTCTTTCTTGGATCACGTATTCTAGACCCGAATAGTTTGTCATTCTTACTTAAAAACACCTCCCAGTCTCCTTCACTACCCTCCATCCCCTGTTGCTGGGCCGCCTTGACGAGCATAGCAAGAACCTAACAACAATCAAGTGTTATTTTAGATAACACCAGCTTCAGTGAGAGAGCAGCAATTTGCACAAGTAGTGCAAAGTTTTAGATCCACATCTAGTATTTCCCTTTCCAGCACCAACAATTGGTATAATATATTCAATAATTAAGTTAAATTTCTAAAAAAAAAAATTCATTAATTTTACTAAAAACTATTAAATCCTTTAGCAATAGGTTGATTAACTACAAAAAAAAATTATTCATATATAGCACGTTAAAGCCTTAGAATCATCTTACATCTTTCCCCGCGTTGGCGATCATCTTATCCATCTGTGTGTGTGTGTCTCAGAGAGAGAGAGAGAGAGAGAGAGAGAGATACGAAAAGAGCCGGGAAGTTGAATTAGGAAACAATTTATATAATTATGTTCGTTGTTTCAACACTCATGAAATGAAGACGCTTACACAAATTTGATTTTAAGTTATCTTCAATAGATTCTTTACAATTTTTTTTGAAGTACTTACAAATTAGAAGACAAATTCACATGATGAGTAATTTGAATTTTAGTTTTATTACCATGTCATGGCCTACTTATTTATGCACATATGTTTATCCGATGGCCAAAGTAATAATTGTATAGTGACAATATTTTGATATAAAACTATTTTTTGAGATACTTGTATAGAATTCTTAAATGTTGTAATTGACACAAAATTTTGGGACTTTGCTTTATTTTAAAAAAAAAAATTATATTGTTTTATGAAAAAAATAATAAATGTATAATGACACAATATCTAAATTTATCCAATTGTAGGAAGTGTAATGTCATAGAATCTTATTTTATTTTTTATAAATTGACATACCAGTTGAATTTAAGACTGTCAATGAATTGAGTCGAGTCAAGTCGAACCGAGTTTTGCTGAGTTCTAGTTCAACTCGTTTACTAAATAAGTCGAGTCGAATTAAGCCTTTAACAAGCCGAGTCGAGCCAACTCACGAACAATTTAAATCATTTACAACCCTAGTTGAGTTGACACTAAATTTTTTTTTAGCATAGTGTGGAATGAGCCGGTGGTGCTACATGTACTAATTAGTGTACTAACTAGTGTACCAACACTAGTTATGACAATATTATTGACTCCACTCATTAATCACAGTAAAATATTAAAAATCTCTTAAATTATGTCATATTATTAATTAATATACTAATTAATTAATGTATGTAGCATTAGTCGAAATGAGCAGACCATCGAAGACACAACGGTTAATTGCTTTGCCTTACAATTAAAATTTACGAACTTCCAATTAGAGGCATTTACACTTACACCTGGATGTAAAACGTGTATGTAATTTACAACTCCCTAGTGGAGGAGTTTCCCAAGATAGCCTTGGATTCTACTTAAGGTGGAGCAACATTATTAAAATAATAATAATAATTGTAAATTTCATTTTTCTCAATGATACCAAAACAAATATAGGGCAAAGTCAATATATTTGTTATCCAAATTTGGACTAGTTTACAAGTTAGTTATGAATTTTGATAGTAAAAATTATATTCTTAATTTCATATTATATCTAGAAAAAATGCAACAGTTGTAAGTTTTGAACATTTCACATCTGCTAGACTTCCCAATTTAAAATCAATCTGTTTGTAACTTAAAGCTCATCATTGCCTTGCTTATCTAACATTTGTGATCATTTTTAGAACAAATGCAAACTTCTTGAAGTTATTTCTGTATACTTGGGAGAGTTTTATATGCAATTTCCAAGATTCTTCTTTTAACAAACAAATTTTAATCACATCACAAAGTTAAATTTATAACCTATATATAAAAAAATGAAAGTAAGCAGGTCCCTTTGCATCTAACGCATCAAATTGTCTGATTTGCCCTAATATATTAGCTGTTTGAAGTTTCAACATAGGAACAAAAAAACAAAGCACCTGCACATGTAAGTGCTGGAAGTTTCTTTTGATGACTATTCCGCTTGACCTGTGAATTCCAAGGAAGTGAGACAGTGTAGGTTGTTGTCTTTCTCAAACGGTGATGCTGGTGTATGTGTAAGGGTTATGCAGCAATAGGTTCTTCTGAATTGGTTTGGTTTGTTTTTTTCCTTCTCTATTTGCCCTGCTAGTTTTCCCGAGATGCAGAATCAAGCAGGTGAGTCATGTTGAGTAATAAATTGGTATCCGGAAATTATGTGGTTCCAATTTTTCAATCTACAAATCACCGATTGTCTTACATGTGGTTTGCATTAGCTAACCAAGTGTATAGGATTATATATATACCTTCTGTTGCTGATGTTGGTATTATCTACATCTATAGCAAACAAAATAACTGGTATGCTCATTTTCTCTGTCTCTCTATCTTTTTGCGTTCCTATCTTGTGCCTACTTCTATTTAATGTTAGTATACATTCATGGGATTATTTTATTGAGGCTGTGTTTGTTTTGTTATGAGATGATTTGTCCACCATGTGTTTGCAAATATGTTTGACTAAGAGATTGAGATGCTTTGGCTTCTATACATTGGGCTTATTTTATTGATGTTGTGTTTGTTTTGTTATGAGAGGATTGGTCCACCATGTGTTTGCAAATATGTTTGATTAAGAGATTGAGATGTTTTGCCTTCCATATATTGTTCACCATGAAGGTTTGAACTATATGAACATAGTAGTGGCAAGAACAAGCTACTGGTAGTGAAAATTGATTTCTCACATACACTTTAACTTTCATAAACTTCCTTAATTCATCAATCCAACTTTACAATCAATAATTCCACCTTGATGTTGAGAAGAAAAAAAAAAAAAGAGCAGGAAAGAAAAAAAAAAAGAAAAAAAAAAAGCAAACCAAGAAAAAAAAAACCAACAAACCAGGAAAGAAAAAAGAAATAAATAAAAGCATACCAGGAAGAAAAAGAGCAGGGAAAAAAAAAACAATCAAAGTGATTTCTCGCATACACTTTTAACTTTCATAAAGTTCCTTAATTCATTAATCTAACTTTACAATCAAAACAACTTATCCCAATTTCTAAGTGGCAAATAAATATTTAAGCATAGAAAATTGAGCATAAAACCATATCACACAAAACAAGGCAGGGAATGCAACTCACAACCTGAGAGATGTAGGCACAAAAAATAATTTTTTAACGCAAGATAGCAAACCTGAGTCATAGTTCTATTGCAGACACTTTAACTTTCATAAACTTCCTTAATTCATCAATTCAACTTTAGAATTAATAATTCCACCTTGATGTTGAGAAGAAAAAAAAAAAAGAAAACCAGGAAAAAAAACAGCAAACCAGGAAAACAATACAGCAAACCAGGGGGGAAAAAAAGAAAACAAACCAGGAAGAAAAAGAGCAAGAAAAAAAAAACAAATTGATTTCTCACACACAAACCTGAGTTATAGTTTTATTGCAGCAGCGACGAGTATCCCACTGCCATTGTTTTCCCATTGCATTTGTGACAAAATATGTACAAATTTTGTGTTGGAAAATTTGAATTTAAATTTACTCAATTGGTTGTGTCTCTTGAGATGGAAGGATGTGTCCTTTTGAAGGGTTACAACCTTTCTGAAGATTCACATAGAAGTCTATAAATCTCATCTTCCTCACTTCATTTTAGATAGAGAATTGCAATTTTCTTCTTCATTTTGCATTTTATTCTTCATATTTTTTTGAGTCTAATTTTCCTATAAAGAGAGTACATGCACAGTGAAGTTCGCTAGGCTTGCAATAGTAGTGCTACTAGTGTAAGACATTGATCGTTGTATCCTGGGAGATAGACGTCCATTAAGTCCTAAGCACCGGTGGGAGAACGAATCTGTCTTAAGGAAAGAGGGTCACACGCTCGACTCGATCAGGTTTTATCTATTTATGTACTGTAAGTTTTATCGTGTTATTATGCCGATTTATTTCAGTTTTTGGTTTTACCCAAAAATCGTCTGCATAATTTTAAATTATATTTTCCGATAGTTTGGTATTATTTTTATAACATTTTGAAGCGATGTGGTTGCACATATTGCCTTCACCTACATTGCTCTATACAGTATTTATTTTCCATCCAAGAGATAACCTTATTGTAAACAATATCAATTGAGATCCACCAATTAAAATTTCCCACTCATTTTGCTAAGATAGAAACCCAAACTTTTAGTACTTGATAACTAACCTTTGGGAGACAGCAACTTTGTACTTATCAGCAAACCTGATTTAGTTAACCTAGATGAAGCTTTTATGGTTCCAAGAAAAGAAGAAAAAAAAAACAAAAACAAAAATTGTGTACATCACCTCCTTCGTATCATTTTCCAATTCCTTTGTCGTTGAATCTTTGAGCCAAACCACAGAGAACTTCAGAAATCAAAATGATTTGAGCAGTTGAAATTTTTCAGATTCGAATTTGAATGTGATTTTAGGATTTCAAGTCAGACACATAAATGTTTAAATTGCTTTCGAAAAAATAGTGACTTGAATTATGAAGTTCACCAATAATTTATGATTAGAAAGTGCCAAAATATCAAACGAGTAGAAATAATAGGAAACCAAGTAATCCATAGAAGTAGGATAAGAAAAAAAGCCTTCAAAATCTGCTTAGAAAGAAAAGTTCAAAAAATTACAAGCCAAAAATTATGAGTCCCAACAACAACAAAAATACTAGCCAAAAGAAAATCAAATTAAACCGCAAAGAAAATATTAGATTTAGGAAAAACACTAGCCATTGAACCATTGGTACCGAAAGGGTTTGGTCAATCCTAGGAAATTCATTTTCTTAGATTGCAAAGTTGTAACACTTTGTTAGAAATGGGTTTTGAAGTTTTGGAAAAATAGCATTTTCCTCAATTTTGGTCTAATTTTTAGGTATGACCCATGCGCCAAAGTTGGCGGGTTTAAGTGGTAACGCGTTTTATGCCGCGTTGTGATTCACGTAGTATATTTGGTTGCTCAAAACCATTATCAGGTAAATGGAAAATTGAAGCCAAAGAGTGCTCCATGGAAATGGTGTTTTTGATGAAATTTCCTAAAGGTTTAGTTTAAGGCTTGTCCCACATTGATTTGGTGGGCATACTTTGAGTGGGTTTATAAGGCTTGGGTTTGTCACTTGGGGAGGGCCCCAAGGGGCACCCCAAGTTTGTAAAAGGGAGAGGTTATAGGCAAATTGAGCTAAATCCATTGGACCCAAAAATAAACATGCGCACACCACTGCCGTCGTCCGGTTGGGTGGGTTGGCCTGGGCCTGGTCGCGGGTGCGTGGTGTGAGGTTGGGTTAGGCTTATCTGGCCCAATACCTATTTTTTTTTTGGGCCAAAAACATTTGAATTTAATTTTATTTTTTGTTAGAATAAAAATTTGTCCAGAATTTAAATTTAATTTCAAAAATTTGTCCAATTTTCCCTCCACCCAAACAAGTTCCAATCTGTTTGAAATTTAACCGAACAGATTCAA